ATAGATTAGACAATTAAACATTCAAATAATATTCAAACAACCAAATGAGGACCAAATTGTTAATTATATCAATTAACCTCTTAAAAGTTTACTAAAATCACCTATCAACACATGTAGACTAATTTTGATATGAAAGTATACTTGATATAAATCAATGTCTCAACAAACAAACAAGTTACAAATAAAAATTATACATTCATTTAATCATCATGTATGTCGAATTCTATTCAGAGTTCATATTACACTTACTAAATCTAGTCATTAATCATCTTACATTAAGATATTTATCCTTCAATCAAAACGTGTACCATTGTATTCCTTACTTATTTACTTACGTATCAACATGTCCTTATTTACTTACATATCAACATGTTAAGTTAGGACATGAATATAGAATATCATTACAAACTATAAATTGTACACCAAAATCGTAAGGTTAACATGCATGAGTCTATTATAACATAACATCCTTAACATTATCATAATAAAACATACGTAACATAATAAAAATAACACGCATACATGTTAAACAAAAGAGATAGATATAAATAACGAAACAAAATAGACAAAAGAGATTACAAAAACATAGATGGATGATAAATCTAATTTGTAAGTCATAAAATGCAACTCATGACCATTCTATCAAAATTGAACACGTTTGATAGACAGTAAATTACAATGTATAGAAAATGCTACAAAATATTGACTAAATTATACGAAAAATATAAAAAAAACGAATATAAATTTAGAAAACTATAAAATATTTCTTAATATTATTTAATAATTAAAAACAACCCAAAATTTTATTTAATCTTTATAATAATAAATAGGGTAAACTACTCAAATGATCAATTTTATTAACTGTCACGTCAACACTTCTATCAAATGTTAACGACAAGTGGCTTGATTGAAACCACTTAAATAGTTATGTAATCATATTGATAAAATTAAAAGTATGACAATTATATTAACACCAACCCATAGTAACTGTCATTTGAGTAGTGTCCTAATAAATATGAATTTACTTTAGAAAAATACATGCACAAGATAAATACTTGCGCCCTAATATATATTTACATGAATACGTACACAAATAGAACGGGGCGATGACAACATTAATGACACTCATGTGTTGCATCTTAACTTCACTGTTTAATAAAGGAGTGAAGTAAGATCATATAAACTCCCTTAGTAATATATTTTATTTTTTCCTTACGATTTTAAAGTCTCTTCTTGATTATTCTGAATCGACCCGCGTCACACACCTAGTTTTGGTGGATGAGTCTCTCAACAAGGATTTTCTGTATACACAATGACTCGAACTCGAGACCTTACTTGAGCGATATCAAGCTACTTACCACTTGAACCAACTCTGTTCATCTTTAGTAATATTTTTTTTTCACTTAACGTGGGATTCTTATATCTAGAAACAAAAATGATACAATAGAACTATTTTTTTTTATAATCGTTTCTAGAAAACTTGCCTGCTTGCGTTGACAATTGAACTTTTTTTATTTGAATGTTTCAATTTCATCCTTAAATTATTACTCGCATTTTAAATTATTATAAACTTTTAAACATTCTAATTGCATCCCTAAACTATGATCTTCTTTCTAAATTGGTCCTCAAACTTTTGAATATTTCAATTTCATCTCCAAATTAATCCAAATATGTAATTAATTTTAACCATAATTTAACTTAAATTGTTTTTCAAACATATAACATATAACTTGGCCTAATGATTTTATTAACAGGGGATGTGATAGTATACATATATTTTGGGATAGAATTGGAATGTTCAAAAGTTTAGGGACCAATTTAGAACAAAGGTCATAGTTTGAGGATGAAATTGAAATATTTAAAAGTTTGATGATTAATTTAAAATGACAGTCATAGAGTCATAGTTTAGATATGAAATTGAAATATTAAAAGTTTAGAGACCAATTTAAGATAAGAGTCATATTTCGAAGACATATGATGCAATTAACTCTTTTTATTAATATAATTTGCTTGTCAAACTTTATTTCAGATTTTAATAAATTATAGTTAAAAATTAGGATATAAAATTATAAAATTTTAAAAGATATAAAATTATATTACTAACGAAAAATATAACAAATTTCTAAGTTATATAAAAGTTTTAAAATCTTAGAGACGGACGTCGAGTTTTTTAGGAGGTTTCATCATGCCCTCTTAGAGCTTCATTTCGAGGAAGGAGCGCCTCTTTGTCCCGAGACCGGCCGGAAGTTTCCGGTTAATAAGGGAATTCGAATATGCTTTACTTGAGGACGAGGTTTGAGAAAATGGTTGGTGGTGGTTGATACTGCTTCGATTGGGCATTGTGGGTTTTGGTTAAGGTTTTAATTCGCTCTTTTGTGCTTGATTTTCTTTTTGAGTTTGTATGGTATCCAATTGTGTTTTTAATATTAATGGTTGTGATATCATATAGTGAAATGAGCTTTGAATCTTCGTTCTGCGATTCAAACACAATATCTACCAACCTTTACGATTTTGGGAAAATTTGTATACAAAAGTCAATGTCTAAAATGAAATTATTCTAACAATTGAATAGTACACGCGGTGCTGTGAGACAAAGCCAAAGAGATTGGGTAGAAAACTGTTACAACTAGTGATGGACATAAATCGAATTTTTAGTCTTTCATTCGACTCGATTTTTAAAATAAAATTCACATATTATCCGTTACAAATAGAGTTAGATCGGTCCAAGTTTGGATCTTGTGCCGCACCAACACATGAAACAACAGAAGAAGATAAACAAAGTGAAATTAAAGAATCAAATGAAGAAGACATCGAAACTCCCCATGCTATAGTTCTAGCTTGAAAATGTCTTTTCCACAACATTAGTTTCGGTCCATTCTAATGATGATGTTAAGTACAGGATGAGGGTAAAGATTGTTGGGATTTCAGTTGATGCAGTTTATACGGCTAACGTGAATGCTCCACCTGGTGTCGAAATCATTGTTTCGCCGAGTAAGCTTGAATTCATCGCTGTGAACCAGATGCTGAGCTATGAGATTACGTTTGCAAGTGAGGGTATGGCATTGCATCGCAAGGACTCAATCGATCGACGGAGTTCATCTTGTGAGTTCCAGTGCTGTTAGGTGGCTTCAGGGACTCCCAAGATACCATCTGATTCGCAGATTCTAGTGTGTTAATAAATTTGGGGAGGACCCTTGTTTTGCAAATGGCTATGCTTTTTCATTGTATTAAGGAATTCTAACATGACTGGCGTGTGATTCGCAATAGCGTTCAACAACAGTGAATCTAAGTGGGGTTGACAATGTTAGAAAATGTTTCCTTCTTCAATAATTGCATTACTTAGTTTGTATGAAAGCAAATTCATAAATTGGATAAGTATTTACCCGCGAGAGTTCGAATATCTCAGGCGTCGGAAATTTAATTTTTTGTACATTCAATTAAAATAATGCGTAAATGGGTTAAATACCTATGAGTTAAATACTTAAATCTATAATTTAGGTCAAGGCAAGCAGATCAATTATTATTATGTTAATGATATTCTTTTTCTCTCAACATTTTTTTTATTTATTTTACTTTTTAGTCTTAAAGTTGATAAAATAATTATTTTGTTACAAATCTATAAAATATTCTTTTACAAATTTAATAATAAAAAATATCCGAATACTAGTTAGTGTAACTGCCCCTTTATTATTTATCACGTGCTGTATTAATCTGCACGAAACTAGTCAATGTTTGTAACTAACATATTAATATTCATTTCAAATAAAAAATTGAGGCTCATGGGGCCCACGTGTGCCTCTCCAACAGTCGGCACTTGGCATCTACCTAACTAACACCTTCTGAAATGGCGCCTAAGCTCCGTCTGCTTCTGGGGACTTATGTTGCTTTGAATTACTAAACCACCCTTATTATCCTGTAATCTCATAAAAAATATTTATTTAATTAGAGTTTGATTTTTCTATAGAAATTTTATTTTGGTTTTAATATTTTGTTTATGTAAATTGTTATCTAATGTGATAAAAAAAATTAAATTATATATATATATATATATATATATTATAGATTTAATTTAATTAAATTATGAACTTATTGAACGTGATCAATAATGTAAAGATTTCAAATTCGGACAACTGTATTTTTCGAATGTATTTTGACAATGATTAAGACACTATGTTAATTTTGTCTATTTATAATATTTTAATTAAAAAATTTATTTAATAAATATCATATTATTCATCACTTAAATCAAAAATAAAAAATAACTACAATTATTGATAAAAATTAAAACATTTTAAGTTTTATTTGAAATAATGATTTCTTATTATGAAATTAATTATTTACATGTATTTTTAATAAAATAAAATAAAATATTTTATTGTTATTGTTATTGTTATTTTATTGTCATTTAATTAGGTTGATTGTTTTCTTTGTAAAGAATTGTTTCTAAATTAAAAATTAATAACATATTGAAATTAAAACATTTTTTTCATATTTTTTTGTATTCATATCATTTTACTTAAATTCAATGGTTATTAAAATAAGAAAAAATTGAATTAAAAAATAAATATGAAAATATTTATTTTCAAATTATAAAAAAAATAAAAATCCATAAAAGTAAAAATGATTGAAACACAAATATATATAAAGAAAACAAAGTTAAAGGAGAGCACAAGGTTCTTAATCTTGAGGTCGTGGGATCGAGTCCCATGGAGGGCATTTCATAATTTAAAGGTCTCCTACAGAAGCTGCTCTCAACCTAGTGTTGGGGACAGCCTATTATCTCACCTCCCTCTTACCCCATTATATATGGGAACAAAGACAGCCATTTACAGTTAAAGGGCAACCATGGAAAAAAAGAGAGGTAGGCAATTGCAAGGAAAGCCCTATGTCCATCCAACTTGACTTTTTCTCCTTGTTATTCTATTATTCAATGGAAATAAAAACGTGTTTTAAATAAAATATAAAATAATAATAATTAAATGATGAAGAAACCAGGAAAACTCACAGCTAATCAGGTTCAAATACATGGCGTGAGAGACATTTGTGGAAACTTGCTTCTCCTCCTCATATTTCTTCCTGTCTTGCTCCTTTTAAGGCAAAAACATATGTACCATCCTGAATCTTTGATGTTTCAGTAGATTTTTTGACAGACAAATCATTTTCCATTCCAGATCTTGTAAGAAATTCGACGGTGATTTTCAGACAACAAACAGGAGAAGAAACAAGGGAGCAGAATGTCTAATTAGGGCAGAAGTCTTGACAGAGCAAGCTTTGTCAATCTTCTAAGCCAGTACTTGAAAGAAAAGAGGAATCTTGGGGATTTCAGCGTTGGAATCTCTTCAAAACCTGATGCTAAAGGTACCTTTTTTTTTGTTAGCTTTTCTATTGGTATAATGGGGGCTTTTGGTTGATTGTCAAAGATTTGTTTCCTTTTTGTCATGTGGGTGTTTTAGAAAGAAAGAAAGTTCTCAGGTTTGAGAAGAAGGATGGTTATAATATTCATGATTGGTTTTATTTGCAGGGAAACAAGCAAAGACAATGAATCTTTTGTCCTCCATGGTTGATTCTTCAGAGAGTTCAAGACCAAATCTCTTGTCACCTACATCAAATGTGAAGCTGCAGATTCTTCCAGGCAGCTTTGGTGCCACGGTTCCAAGGAAGACACCATAACAGACAGTTCTCAGGTGTGTTTGTGTTTTGTTTTCCGGTGAACAACATGTATGAACTTTGAGACAACGTGTATGAACTAGGAATGTTTGTTTTGTCGGTGTAGGAAACGGGTAGCAGGGGAAACAAGAATGCTCAGCTGACCATATTTTTCAATGGCCAAGTGGTGTATACAACGATTTCCCTCCGGACAAGGTGAAGGAAATCATGGCCTTAGCTAACCAAGGAAGCTCAACTACATGCACCGATGTATGTTTCCGACCCCACCATGGAAAAACCGAGCTCTAACGTCGATAAAATCGATACCGATATCCTGACTTGAACGTCGCCTCCGCAACTGCGATTACTCCGGCTCAGGACACTTCGGTTGAGCAACGTCAATACGGTGGTTCGGATTTGCAGATCGCGCGAGAAGGAATTCACTTCACAGTTCTTCGAGAAGAGAAAAGACAGGTAGAGATTTTAAGTTGTTCATATTCGACCTTGTTGCTCTTCACTACAATATTGTTGAATGGTATCTCACTGAATTGATGCTGCATTGTTTTCAGGGCGGCTGCAGAGCACCGTACCAGTCGAACAACAACCGAGTCTCGCTGCCTCCGTCTAACCCGACGGAAACAAGCCGTCGTGCGAGGAAGGTCGATCATCAAAAGACACACCCAAGAGGCATGATCTCAATTTATAGTCTATATAGAGAGTTCAATATGTTGTAACTTCGTTATACCTTTTAGTGATTATATGCACAAGGATGCTAAATTATTAACTATTGTCGCTCGCCATTTTTTTTTTACTTTTTACCAATATGTTTCTTTTTTTTAACTAATCTGACACAACTGAATTGAGATCTGATTTCCCCCCTCTTTTCATGCAACTTTAATCCATTGGTACTTATTTTATCATATACGAAAAAAAAATCGTAATTAATCAAATCCTTTAACCCCAAATTATTTATATATATTCAAATTGATTCAAAATAAATATCAAATTAAGTTAAAATCTACGCCATTCAATTATGATTAGGTTTTTCTCATATATTATTTCTATTAAAAATCTAGTTATTTTATTAAATGATAATAATTTTTAAATATTTGCATTATAATATCGTATATTTAATTTTTATATAGTATATTATACATGTGTAAAGAAAAATAACACAAAGAATTAAAAAAAATAGGTCTAGCCAATCCTGGGCCTCAATGTTGGAGTCCGGTTTCAGCCATTTCTGTTTCTAAATGGGTCTATTTCTTTGTCAGGCTTCTTTGTCCAAATATCACCTAACTAATAATTCTTTTTTTTTAACCAAACATTAATTTTAAATCAATTCTTAAAATGACACTCATTTGATCAAACCACTATCAAGTGTACTTTAATGTTTAATTAGATAATTAGATCATTTGACAAGTACACTTTTACTTTTTATCTTAAGGGGTTTAGGTTTAAAATATAGAGTACATAATTCAATATGTGTTAGATCCACTTACACCTAGTGTGAAACTTTTAGTTTTACACCTTTTTATGATCGTTAGATGAAAAAAATCAAAGGTTGAGATTAACTCATTATTTTTTCTCAGTGAATATCTTCACATTTCATAATGTTAATCATAGCCTTTGATTTTCCCTCATCCAATGATCCTAAAAAGTGTAAAACTAAAAAGTTTTATACTATGTAATTGGCTCTGCCCGTTTAAGATTTTAAGATTTAAAAATAGATTTTAAAATTTAAATAAATATATATATATAAACTTACACAATTTATATATCAAAAAAATTATTCTTTTAATTTATACACACTGATTTTACACACTGCACATGTAAAAAATACTAAATAAAAAGTTTGAACCACAAATAAAATGCATATATATATATTAACTATAATTACCAACAGGGGTTGGTTCAAGTAGTAAGTAGCTTGATATCGCTTAAGCAATGTCTCAAGTATGAGTCCTTTTGTATGCAAAAGATTCTTATTGGGAGACTCATCCACGAAAACCAAGTATGCAATGCAGCTAAGAGGACAACTAAAAAAATATAATAACTATAATTAAAATACGTGCAATTATTTTCATACTTATTAATATATCAATATATTAAATCTATAACTTAAGTTGAAAGTTAAAAACTATAAAAGCAATTTAATATAATAGACTTTTAAAGTTTTTACATTTTATTAATTAAACATTAAGTCATACATTTCAATCAACAATCTCTACAACAGAGGATTAAAAACTCTAAATTTACATCTTCCCTCCCCCCAACTTATAGATTCAATAACTAGTAATAGTATACAATTCTCCTTTCCTTTCTCTTTTTTATAATATAATATAATAAATGGTGAATCTGAAGTTTCATAACCTTATTCCTATAAATAATTATATATTCCGTTAGAACCTGCAGTTATCTTACCAGCCTTTTATAATAGGGTAAACTACATATTTAATGCTCACATTATTACTTTTATTTTATTTTGGTGTCTAAATTTTATTTTTTCTAAAATCATGCATAACGTTTAGTTTATATTTCAATTTAGTATTCCACCGTTAAAAAATTATCATAACTTCTAATGTGACTTTTTTCAATGATGATGTGATATTATCTGATGATAATATATCAATGTTTACCGTTAAATTCTTAATGACGAGAATCAAAATGAAACTTAAACTAAAACATTTGATATACATTTGATATGATTTAAAAAAAAAAATGTTAGATATTAAAACTGTAATTTAGATAATAAACATGCAGTTATCATTTATAATATTAAAATAAAAGGAAAAAGACACGTGCAAACGTGGCTTTGTTATATTTGCCGTTAGCAAAACACAAGGAATATAGAGTGGTAAGTTTATCTTTCCCCTTTCCTCAATATGATCCCGCTATAAATACATACATTTTTGGAACCACTCGTATCCCCTTCCACTCTTGAGGGGCCTCTTCTATTTTTCCAGTTTTTCTTTTCTTTTATTTTTTTCTTCAAAATTTTCTTCTCTCACTTTCTCGAGGCCTCCCATCCTTTGAACCCTAGCTGGAGGAAAAAAGGAACATAAATTTCTTGCAAACCAGACACCTCGATTAAATTATTCCCCAGTAAATCGCCGAGAAAAAAAAGAAAAAATGCAGCACCAGAGGATGAAGCAACAGCAACAAGCCTTGATGCAACAAGCTCTTCTTCAACAACAGTCTCTTTATCACCCTGGCATCTTAGCTCCTGCTCAGGTTTCTCCGCTATTTTTTTTGTTTCTTTATCTCTTTTATGCCTTCGATTTTTTTGTCAATTTCTATTTTAGTCGGTTATTGACGTATATTCCCGTATTTAGGGACTTCTTGTGTTTTTATATCGTATTTTGATCTTCGAGCTCGTGTTTGCTCACTTCTTTGTGATTGATTCGTAGAGCTTGAGTAGTTTGATAACTTTATGTGGTGATGGCTTTTTTCATAGTTTGCTCGAATTTGGTGGATTTGTTTCTATTTTGCTGATTTGAGAGCTTTGAATGTGTGTGTTTTTTTGTTCATTAATAGTTATCTTTCTTCTTTTTGTTTGTCGGAAAGTTGAATTATTTGCATTTAGGTTGACTAAGTCTGTGTCTTTAATTGCTCTTGATGCAAACTGAAGCTCATAATTTTGGTTAAATTTGATGAGATTGTTTTGTTTCTTAGTATTTACTTTTTCAATGCGTGAAATTCCAGTGTTGTTATTTCTCGTATATGAAATTGCAGCCCTCATGCTGAAAGTTTTTGCTTTGGTGTTTTCTTTCTCATTAACTTGTGTTTCTTACCTCTTTGGTTTTATTTTGTCCACTTTAATCGAAAGCTACACGTTGTTTTGCAAATGTTGAGAAATGATTAAATAAGTTTTAGGTAAACTTAGTTGCCATTTTTCTTTCACACTCCTATAATCAATCAATTAATCAATCAATCTATTTGTATATGTGTGTATGTATGTATCTATCTATATGTATCTCCTGTTTCTAATATTAGGAAAGAACGTCTAAAATCTCTCTCTCCCCCCCCCCACCCAAGAGTCCAAGTTGTGGAGCATAAAACTGGTTCCTGAATCATTGCGGGTCTTTAAGTTTATAACTTATAGTCCTCTGATATATCATCATGAGCAAATTTAAAAAGTATATGAAAACTTTCAGTGTGTTGTCCGTTTGTCAAAGTTAGATTTCTGGCAGACCTCTTTGTTTGAATTTTATAGAACAACGGGTATTTTTTATCAATTTGGAGGTGGGTTCAAACTTAAAAAGAATTTTGAGTTGCATTTATCCTTTACTGACATGCAGACTACAGTTCTGCTGGAAGCATGTTGTACTTAGATTAGGCGGAAACTCTTTGCTATTCTTGTCACTGAAAAAAAAAACAAAGGTGAAAAAAAGATCATGGTTAAAGCAAGAAGCATGTTGCCTATTTTTTCATTAAGTTGAAAGTATCAGTGAGCTTGGAGAAGTGATGTTCTCATTTCTGATGGTTATCTCTTAGGTTGACTGTTGGATACCTCATAGAACTCAATATTCATTTCTGGTTTTGAATGCTTTAGAATTTGGTTCAGTGGAAGGGACTTTTCTGTACATCATTTCTTCTTCCTCTTTTTTATTCTCTCTCAATTTTTTTCTTTTAATTTTGCAGATAGAGCCAATTCCAAGTGGAAATCTGCCTCCTGGTTTTGATCCAAGTACTTGCCGCAGTGTGAGTGTTTGCTTAAATTTTCTCTTTTGTTGTTTTATATTTGTGTATGTTATTTCCCTTCTGCTAAAACAACTGTACAAGTTGCTTTTATGCTTGTGATTATATCATTGGAGACACTTTTCCTCCATGAATCTGGTGATTAAAAAATGTTTCCAATGTCCTTAGTGCAAAATTTTAAGCTAATGGCTTCTTTGGTTGATAGCTTAATGGTTTTGGGAATTTGATAGATACTTGTATGTTGTTGCATCTTTCGAACAACTCAGAAAGTTACTTGTAGCCTTCTA